AATAAAAGTATTAAAAAAAAACCCTTCAGGTCGCTGCCATGCCTGTCTGTGTGAGCACCTGTGTAGGAGACTGAGCCACACGACCCAGCTGACCTCTTTCCATACTCCAAGCTCGGAGATGAAGTGCCGTACTCAGGGCCTGCTGCTTTCCATTTGCTAAGCCTTATTGTCATTTGTTATATAACACTGCACAAAGTATAGTTTCGAGCAATTCATGTCCACATTACAATTCTATTCCCCTGGCCATAATCCCTTGATGAAGAGTAAGCAAGTAATCTAGATTCATTTAATTAGGATGAATCTGGGACTTTTGCTCAGAGTGCTTAGAACACTGGTCCCTAACAGTATTAAAAGAGACAGAACACATCCTTGATTGCAGTTGCAGGCCATTCTAGAACCATAGGCAGACCAGCCTTGAGGTTCTTCTGACATTGAGCATGGCAGTGCAGAGAGGGAAAGAACAGGCTCTTTGCGACACTACTGATCCAGGATCAACTACTCCTGAGGACTATGGGCTAATTACTTGAGAACATAGATTCTCTTCTTTGATCAAGCCTGATGAATTTAGTGTTGGGTCATCAGTGTTCGTAATGTGCAACAGCAGCAGTCAATGGCAAGGCACAATAAGCTACATGGCTGCATGCCTAACTCTACTCAGTGTACTACAAAACGAGCACGTGTATCTAAAATATACTGGTGTCAGAAAATCAGGAAAGCATAAAAGAATGGATATATAGTTATAGCGGTAAATTTCTTACCTAATTGTGCAACACTTTACCTTCTTTATACAGTTGTTAGTAAGAAAAGATCTGAGAAACAACCTATTCTTTAAAACTAATTAAAATATAACCACATGCAGGCTGCTTACAGAGCGAGGAAGAATAGAATAATTAAACAGTAAAGAGTACATGAGAATTAGAAGTGGGATTAAGCTAAACAAACTACTATTATTTTCCAGGGATATTTTTGAAGATAGAATATTTTATAAAACTCAGAAGAAAAACTCTGCACTGCATTTAAAGTCTTCCACCATATAAAATTGCATGAATATTAAACAGATCGCTAAAAGGCACAGATAGTTGTGTCTGCTTTGTGGCACTTTTCTGCAGTAAACTGTGATCTTCAATTGAAAATGTTCTCAGTAAGTTGAGACAGCATTTCAGTCAGTCACTGAAGGTTTAGATTTTATGCACTAGAACTTTCTCCTTATATGTGTACTTTCCCATTTTCAAAAAGTAAAAGGTTAGAAAGAAAAAGGATAATAGGTATGTCAAGAGCATTTCTAAAACAAGAAATGGCATGTCTGTCGAGTTCCCATTTTGAGGTAATGTAAACACTGCTCCCTCCTCCAGCTGCTGGTCTCAATGCCGTTTCCCCTACTAGCGTCCCTCCGTCCTTCCTTCTCTTGCTTTCTCGGGTATGTACCCAGCTCTGCATGCATGCAGGATAAGTGAGCAAGTATCTCCGTTTCTGTTCTCTGGACATGTGCACACAAGGCATACAGGAAAGGTACACACAGGAAGGCCACACAGAGAGTGTACTTAGCCTACCCATGGTTAAGCACAGGTACCCGAAGATAGTAGTAGTATATTCCATCGGCCAAGATATCTAAGAAATACCTAAACAGAAGAGACATTTAAGTTGGGTCTTGCATATGTGTGGGCTTTAGACAAGCTTGGGGAAAGGACAATTTAAGTGATCCAGTATAAGCAAAGGCAAGAAAGGATAAATTCTCACAAAATTCACCATGGGTTCTTCATCATCAGCCTGACTTAAGTAAAGGATTTTTATAAGAACATCTAGGGACTTGAAAAATAAAGTAGATGGGGCCCCACTGCAAATTGAAAATAATAGAAAACAGGATTTAGAGAAAGCCCAAGTTTAAGTTTTAGCTCTACCATTTGGATTTGTTAAGCTATCTCACAAGGTTGCTAAGAAATAAATGATGCAATGAACAAATATGGCATTACTTATTAAAGCATGTGTTCAAATAAGGTAATTGTAAAAGGTGACAGTACGAATGACAGAGAATTTCAGATGAGGCATCAGTTTGAGGAAATGGGCTAACCCTGCTGTGCATGTTGACCTGTGTGTTATTCCAGTGCTGTCCCACAATGGGCAAAATGTACCCAGGCAGCACAGCATGATGTATCACTTGCCACCAGTTTTATCCTTGGCCCAAAGTTTTCAAATACATCATATGGGCCACTCAGAACCTCATAATTTTGAAAACATAAAATGAAAATATTATGACAACTTATACCGAGATAAGGACTTTATATAAATTCTTTCATTTCATCTTAATGGAATCTCTAATATGAACTTATTATTTCCCCCATCTTAGAGATAAGGAAAGTAAGGCCCCAAGAAGTTAAATGGTTATGTGTGTTTATGTGACTCCAAACGTCACACTTAAAATCACGAATAATCCTCTCTTTAGCTGATTATTAAAAGATTCTTACATGTTCCTCTTACTCATTTTGGCATTACCTCAGATTTTAAATTACCTGAAATCTACATACAACTGGAAATTTCTGTAGGCAGTGCATGGAGGTTCTTCAAGATCCTGGATTTCTCAACAGACACAAATTAATTTAGAAAGGGACCTACAGAATAGGTATCCATGCATAAAGGGACCTACAGAATAGGTATGCATGCATAAAGCAGCAGGAGGCAAACTGTGGAGATCAACTTCTATATTATAAAGGAATTTTGTGCTAAATCTCATCCAGTCCCAATAATTACATGCTGGTAAAGGCAGCTGCATTTATGCAAGAAGAAAGTAAGGACTGATGTGATGAAGAGATTTTCGTATGTGAGCTCATGTAAGACGACAATAGTTCCCAGTAGGTAGACCAGGATTCTGTCGGCCCCCCCCAGCCAATGTCTAGCTGAGGAACTGCAATTTGTATATTTGACAATGAAAGTCCTTGAATGGTTCTGAGCAGGGCATTGCAAGTCTGTATGGGACACCTTGATCAGGTAGACTAAGGCAGGAAAAGTATTAGAGAAAACTAATATCAAGAAGTAGTGAGCCATCTTTTTGCCAGGTTATTCCTTAGTAATAATAACAATGATAATAACAATAGACAATACTTACAGATACAGATGTAATTTCCATAATAGATGAATTAATTCTCAATATAAGTTAACAAGGTAAATACTATTACTGCCCACATTTTGGAGAAAGAAAAACACATAAAAATAAAATCATAAAAATACCAAATACTGTGAAAGCTTAAATTTGGAAGTTTACTAGAGTAAAAGACACATCCCATTAGTCCTCCTCAAAATATATGCTTCACTTCAGACACATTATCTATCGTTCTTGTCTCCTATTAAATGTTGCCAGTTGCACTGTCTATACAAATTGCAGTTCCTCAGCTAGACATTGGCTGGGGGGCGGACAGAATCCTGGTCCTGAATTCAATAAAAAATGTCTGCCTTTCAGGGCCAGGCCGATAACTCAGCGTACTGAAGTGCCTGCTTAGGCAGAGTATACTGGCCAGGGTTTGATCCCCACTGTACTGTGCCAGCCCCCTCCAGGATGTACTGAGACAGGGAACAGACTAGGCATAGTGGCATGACCCTCTAATCCCAGTGATTGGGAGGCTAAAAACAGGAGAACCGCTACAAGTTTGATATGTGCAGTGAGACCCTGTAGACACTGTACCAAATATTTAAAAAAAAAAATGTCTGTCTTTCATAGACTTTTTTTTTCATAGACTTTTGATCACGGAGAAGAACAGGAATTTGCAGAGCCAAATGCATGGAATACAGTGGGTAAGGCATATCCTAGTGTGTCAGTGAGCCTGCCTTTCTTAGCTGGCATGTAGCAGCAGCACTGGTCATGTTTTTATCATACCTCATGTCTCTCTTTAGAGACAACAGCATGAGGAATTCTAACGAAAGCGTATGGACTTTTTGGAGAGAAAGGGTGACAACTTCAATGACAGCTGTTCTTTTTTTCTCTTATTACTACAAGATAGCACATAATAAAAACATCCCTTAAATACCTAGGATTAGAGCAACCCATTTTTATATTGGTTACTCTATTGTTTCTCTTTTATTTAAAAGAAATAAATGTGCTAGTAATTATACTATTTTTAAGCAACTTATTTAATCTTTACAATTTTCTGACATAAGTACTATTATGCCCTTTAATTTCCAGGGGAGGAAACTGAGGCAAAGAAAGACTACAGAATGTCTAGATCACATCTGTGATGAGGAATGATTCAGCCTAGAAAGAAAAGCTTGGGCTTCCAGTGTCCGAGCACTGCGTCCTAGGGCTTCACAGCTCGGTGGCCCTGCACTGGCCACTCACTTCTGTCTTCAGCATTTTCCACAAACATCCTCCTATTCCTTTCCCACCACTTTTTCTCCTCTCTTCCCGGAGCACTTCACTGATTTTACTACTTACACTCTTGTGCAACAGTTCTCCACTTACTTTCCAGCACTGCTTGGAATATAGCAAATCACAGGGAGGTGTCTGTTCAGCAGACTACCTCTGTAAAGCAGTCATTTGAAACTAAGGTTTAGATTATTTCAAAGCAAATACCTCACTGATGATCCACCAGTGACGCTTTCCTAGCTGCCTGAGCTTTTTTATGAGACAAGGCTATACTTTTTATTTCTTATTTCTTCTCTGACAGGGCCTATAAATGAATCAAAGGAGAGATGGTGAATTTTCTGCCTTGAAATAATTATAAACACAGAGTACCGGGCCCCTGCGAAGGAACGATTAGCTCAGTGGTTCTCATATTTTACTGTGCATTAGAATCATCAGGAAGAAACGTAAAAAACACAAACTTCTGGGTCCATCCTGAAAGCTCCTCCTTCAGTACGTGGGTCTGAGCAGGCAAAGGGCCTGTGCTATTCTCACAAGGTGGACTGCAGTGAGGCCGACACAGCTGGTTTGCAAAGCCTGTGTCTGAGAAGCAGCCTGCTGGAATCAGCTGTGCAGCATGCCCGCTACTTCACTCCCATTCAGACGCACTCACCTTGGGAAGCTCCAGATGGTGCACAGCGGTAAATGAACTGAGGCTGACAGCTGCACCAGAAGCAGCAGCACTTGGCTCTACCTGACAGAGAAGAAAAACGGCGAGAGAGGCAATTCAGTGCTAGCATTTTTTTTGCTTAACTACAAGCCCACATAATCAAAACGATCACACAGACTTCAATTTAGTATTCACTGTTTTAATGTCTTACAGAATTTAAGAGAATTATTCTTATAAAGTACTGAGAAAGAATGACTGGACAGCAATTGTTCTGGAGCAAAAACAACTATGCAGGTCAGAAGTCAGCCTGGATTTACCCCTTCATTAAATCTAACAGCAGCCAGCTACCTAATGGAAATGCAGTGAGACACAGGCACCTGCACAGGTGTCATTATTCTTTATGTTACCTATCAAATGAGTTCAGAGTATTAAATGCTGTACCTGAAAATTGTGAAAGTATTTCATTTTCTCAAGGTCCATGTTACATCACAAAGTGACTTAGTTCACAATCAGAAGCAATTACAATGAGACAATGATTTGTATATTTTCCATACAAACAAATGTTTATACTTCCACTCAGGAAGAGTGTCCTGTACCTTCCCTACTGATAATAACTACTGCTCCTCTAATGTTAAGTTCTTTCTCCATTACATTCACTCATTCATTCACTTTTGTGTGGTACCCGGGGCCTTTGCCCTGAACTACTTCCCCTGCCCTTTCAATCGATGTGCCCGTTAAGGCATGCTGCTTGGAGACACACCTGTGGATACACCGAAAGCACGTGTCTAGGTGGGGGGCAGCTCATGGAGCTTCAACCTTGTGGTCGCCATCTGGCCTCTTCCTCTTCCCCTCTCTGGGTCTGATTCCCTGTGCTCTCTCTCTTCCCGGCCACCGTGAACTGAGCTACTCTGTGTGTTCCTATCTTGGAACCTTTTCCTTGCCCTGTGGGCCTGCATGCTACTTCCTGACCACAGTTCTGCCAAGACCTTGGTGATGTTCCTACCTTGGAGCCAGCCAATCATTAGCTAAATCCCTAACTCTGGAAGCCAAAGTAAATCTCTTCTCCTTTAAATTATGGCTCTGGGCTTGTCTTGGTTACTTTTCTCTCAATGCTGAGAAAAAGTATTCAACACCCAGAATTTAGCTCACAGTTTGTGCAAGTTTCAGTCCATACTTGCTGGCTTCAAGGCAGCGTGGTACATGGCAGAAGGCAACAGTTTATGGCAGGAGAAAACAGCAAGAGCAAAAGGGAAGAACAGTGGCAGAGAGCAATAAAGTCATTTATCTTTGTTATTCCTGTAAGTGGTCCATAATGGTTAACTGAATTTATAAGGGAATATCATCAATCAAATGTCCCCAGAGAAATAAAGATAAGTTACAAATACCTCATTTTGAAGATTGTCTGAAGTGGAAGGCAAAGGTTCTACTGTATTTCCGGGACATACAGCCATTTGATTCACTGCATCTTTATTTCTAAAAGCAAAAAAAAAGCATCAACCCCAAATAACAATATTATTTCTATACTCCTACTTGAAGAGTCAAATATTAGAAAAAGACTTCAATCTCTAAAGGCTTAGAGCTACAACACTCTTATTTATGCACGAATGTTTTATTTTTGTTCAAAAGAGCTCGAGCCTAAATGTTGATAAAAAGTACTTGGTAAACCAGTAGAAGAAAGTCTTACCTAATGAAAATGATTTTTACTTTAGAAGGGGCACATTTGATAATTGATGAGGCATTCTGATGACTTCTTCCATATAAAATCTGACCATTGATCTGTGAAAATTAAGTATCATTGGTTAAGCCACAGATTTTAACTCTAAGTTTTCATCATCTTTTTTTTTTTTTTTTTCAGAACTGGGAATTGAACTCAGACCCTTGCACTTGCCAGGGAAGTGAGCCATCAGTATTCCACTGAGCCATCTCCCCGGCCCCTTTAAGTTTCCATCATCTTATCTAGCTAATAAAACTTTTTTTCTTTGAAATACTCTATGCATTTTCCTCATCAGAACATGAGCCTGACTTCTGATGTGAAAAAAGAAAAGCCGATGTATCAAGCCAACACTAAAACGATGCGCACAACTGCTGACACCCAGGAACAGTCGGCAGAAGCACCACTTGGATCAGTTACAGGAGGGCAGACAGCACACTTGCTCACCAGCACTGGCTTCCAACTTGCTTTACCGAGCAAGGGCCGTGTGACCTACGAAGACTGTCCTGGCAGTCCGCTACTCTCCCTTTTCCCCACTGATCTCAAGACTCAAGTCGCAGAAACACTCCCCTAGGAGAAGCAGTGTGAGGAAGCCTGAAAACACAGCAAGAAGCAAGCAGCACAGCAGGCAGCAGAAAATGCCAGCTTGGTTATCTGGTCATGTAGCTGCTGCTGTCTGAGTCTACCTAGCTACAGGGAGAAATTGGATGCAGGAAGAGTACAAATACAATCTGAAGATTTGTGGAGGCTGTCTACAGGCAGCAAAGACAAACAACACAAACAAAATTCCAAACCCTGTGTGTTCGAGTTACAGGTTTATTTTGTTTGGCAGACTGAGTTACTTCATGCATTATTTAGCCTTAATCTTGGAACCCACTTTATCTTACCCACACAACTTAGCCATAAGGATTCAACTTCCAGAAGGTCCAGTGGGTTAATATCATGGTTAATATCAAAGGCTGATCACTTTACTTTTCAAAAACTTCCAATAAAAATGCAGCACAAAAACTTTTTTGAAGTGTGATTTTTATTACGTCTCAGAGCAAAAATTGTTTTTGGTGCTACACAGTCATGACCTTTTAGTGGAAGTTAATGGCAACTCACTGAGTCGGAGTTGTTTTACAGCCACATTTACTGCAATGTAACTATTTTATTAGGCCAGTGACAGTATTCTTAGTCAACATATCAGGCCTGGGTATTTTTTGGATTCTGGAGATTTCACTGCTCTGATACAGCAGAAAAAAATTAAAGGTTGTAAAAATTTACCTCTAGAAGTTCATCGGCAACCTGCAATCGGCCATCCTTTCCTGCTGCTCCATTTGGATCAATTCCCACTATAAAGACACTCATTCGGGTTCGGTCTTTGTTCCCAGCAAGACTCAGGCCCAAACCACTGTGTCCCTTCTCCAGCTCAATCACGTGGAGCTTGCCTGTTAGGGTTCCATAACGCTCTCTGATATTTTCTACACACAAAACAGCAACAGTATCATATTCATGAAAATCTACTTTACAGACAAATATACTTTACCATGGTATACTTGATTTTATTTCAAAAAAGCATTATTTGTACCAAAATGTAATCTTTGTGAGCTAACAGAAAAAAAACAGTCAGGCTGCCCAGGCATCAGACCTGGCTTCCTAGAAAATCCAAACGTTAAGGAATTTCTTCGCATCCAGGATGTGAAAGTGCAATTTCTGATTAAGAAGCTCACTTTAATAATTAGGCTCAAGAAAAGTGATTATTTACATTTGCAAACCCTCAAAAGACTACACTGAAACAAATTTACATTATTATTTGTAGGGCAACACGGCGTGCAGGACATCAGCGGGCCCTGGTCTGTGGCCGCTCCTCTCCCATACACAAGCCTACAGCGCTTATCATCTCATGGTGGGAGCTGCCTGTTCATGTAGCCACAGTGCAGGGAGGAAGGTTTCTTACTGCACAGAACCACTGGGCCAGAATGCACTGATGTAACTGTTCTAGCTTGGGACACATCCTAACCGGCATGTGAGTGAGACCACTCGGGGTCAGCCAGATCCTGATTCGACCCAGAGCCAGGCCCGGCTTGTGAGTGAGATGATCCTGGGCCTGCCAGATCCTCATTAGACCCAGAGCCCAGGACCAGCATGGAACCTGCAGCAGAACTCCCTGCAAAGAAGCTAGAGGCAAGATCCACCCAGCTGATTCAGGGGCAGAACATCTTGCCAGAGTGGCACAGAGGGTTCACTTCCAAGGGCTGCAGCAGGAAGAAGTGGAGCACAGCAGCCAGACCCAAGCCACACCCACCTGGAGGAGTCTGAAATTCATAGATCCAGACCTGGTGCTAAGGTAATAACTATCTAAGCTGTACACCAAAGGTCAGAAGACAGTGCTGTAGAAAATGACAAAGAGAAGGAACAAAATGCACCCAGAACAAATGCAGAAGACACTAGCATAGAAGAAACTGGAAATCACTCACCTGAAATCTCTGAAATAATAGAATCTGAAGTAAAGAAGCAACTGCAGAAAGGTATAGAGGCAAACAGATCAGAAATAATTTCTGAAGTAAAAAAGAAATGATAACTACACTGAAAGAAGTACTAAGTGCTTGTAAAAAAAGACACTTGTAAAAAAAATAGAGCAGAATATAAAAATGATGGAATCCTTCAATAAGCAATATAGGAAAGAAACAGAATGCATGAAGCAGATACAAAGTGAAATACAGAAAATTAAAACCTCAATCACAAACTGGCAAAACCGTTTGAATGAAAGTGAGAATAGACTTTCAGACCTTAAAGACACCATTGCAGCTAGTGAAAAAGTAAGAAAAGATCTCTTAAAAACAACTAGGATGCAGGAAAAAATAATTCATCACCTGCAAGATGATGCAAAGATGAACAACGTGAAACTAATAGGCATCAATGAGAGGGAAGGGGTCAATACACATGATATAAGAAGAATATAGATGGAAGTAATACCAGAAAACTTCCCAAATATGGGGAAACTATCTGACATTCAGATAACTGAAGCATACAGAACTCCAAATAACATCAACCCAATTAAAGCCACACTCAGACATATAATAATCAAGATCCCAGAAATTCAGCATAGGAATAGTATACTAAAAGTCACTAAAGAAAAGAAACAGAGCACATTTAAAGGAAAACCCATTAGGATAATGGCAGCTTTCTCTTCACAAACCATCAAGGCAAGAAAAGCATGGAGCAAAGTACTTTAAGTCTTACAAGAAAACGAACTGCAACCCAGAATGATATACCCTGCAAAAGTCTCTTTCAAGTACAATGGAGAAGTGAAATACTTCCATGACAAAGAACTTAAGAATTTCATGATGACAAAGCCAAACCTACACAGACTACTAAAAGATATCCTACTGAGGGAGGAAACTGACAACTCTATGAATGAGCATGGAAAGAACAACCAACTAGGGCAAACAATTAAACACAGGAGAATAAGAGGTATACAAAACAGTCTTTTAGTTATTCTTTTGTATACAGCAGCAAGATATTTCCATCAGCATACTCTACAAATGGACTTCTCCTGCACCCTATGGGTCATGATTCTGTCTGGGTCTACAGGGTAGATAACAAGGAAATAGCAGTAGCTCAGTCCCACAAGTGATACCTGGACACCAGTAAGTGTTATGGACATTATCCATGTCTACAACGCACTAGAACTTTGTGTGATATCCTATCCCTAAACTGTTAGAAGTGCTGGTCATTTATTTTTCATTCCAGTGTTTATTTTATGTTTTATTCTTAGTAATTCTTTACTATCATGAAAACTTTTTCTTAGTTTAATTGTTTTGAAATATTTAATTTTTAATTAATTAGTATTTAATTTTCTGAATATTGCTTAATTTAATTTTTATTTTAAGATTTATACTGTATATTTGACTTACAATCTACTTAAAAGACATGGTATGATATTTTCTCCTAGTATTAGAAACTTTAAAAAGTAAAAAATAGATAATATACAAAATAAAAACTATAAACTTTATAAATTGTGTCTTAAAAACTTGCTATATGGTTAATGGTCTGCCTTTTACATTGATTCTTAACTACATTAGTTAAACTGTCACTTTTGGCCCCTACAATCTAAAAGCACAATTATTTCTGTCCTTTCAAAAAGAATGTACTATAGTTTTCTTAAATAAAATAATTTGATTCTTAAAGAAAATTTTAATACAATAACACATTTGTAAGTTTTGCCTGAATGTTTACTCTCTCCCTATAAAATACATTTTTCCTTAGAAAACAGAGATAGCCCAAGGATCCCACTATTAGCTACATTTGAATGATTCTTATATATCTGGCCAGTGCTTTGTGCTTCCTAGACATTATGCAAACTAATGTTAGCAAACCAGGAGACGAACGGCATTTTTAAAGAGATAGCCAGTGTATTACAACATGGAAATCATTAAAAAAAATCAACAAATGACCAAAAGTTTTAATTTCAAACATTTACTATATTATCGTACTATTACAGAAAATATCATGTTTCAAATGTAATATCAACACCTAACAGATTCTATAATGAGAAATCTGAGGCTTAGATATCCAGACCCCAAGACAGCGGAATCAGTGCATATTTCAGAGAAAACGCTCTGCCTGCTTCCATTCTCATGAGAAGCAAAGGGGCTTTAACAGTAAAGCAGTTTTAAAGGAAAGGAAAAAGAGAACCTTATGCTTTAGGAATGTATGTCGTATTCCACTAACACAAGCAAACAGCATTTACCCCCACAAAATGGCAGTATGTGTTGCTGAAGCTGAAACATACTATTCATATCTGAATACTTATAATGAAATGCATCATAAAAGGCAACTTACTCCAGGTGTAACCAAACTCGTCCTCTTTGTCCACATCCTCCAAGGCGCTACTTGCACATGACTGAGCATGATCGCTGCCTGCTTCTCCAAGTGCTGAAGAAGAGGGCTGAAGCGCATCGCACAGCGGGGCCTGCCCTGCCTCTGGCTCCACGAGCCTGGGTGCCTGTGGGAACAAGAGGACTGCAGTGGGCATGTGCAAGCTAGGAACAAAGCTTTAGGAGAAGAAATGTAACAGCACAATATTAAAAACAAAAGATTGGCTTTGAGATATCTACCACACCATGGAGAGCTCATACAGGCATATATGAAATGCTAGATTGGATTCAGGCAAAGTTTGAACACACAAATAGGATTAGAACACATAGCTCTGATGAGCTATGATGCCAATGTGTAATTCAACTCAAATGTTTAAAGGACCTAAGATAGAAAACTGTTAAAACTTACCCTGTTGGAAAGAGGTTCTCACTCAAAATTTATAAATACACAGGGGGTCTGTGCAAGGTTTAGGGGTCTAGAAAAGTCTTTCAGGAAAGAAAATAGAGGAGTAGCAGATGGAAGAACAGGAGGCAGAGGAGCAGGAGCAAGAGACTAAGGCACAGGACACAAAGGAAGAGATTAACAAGAAACTGTCTTTCAAAACTTGTTAGTGAGTCTATACATAAAGAAATTTTGGGGCTGGCAGTTTAGCTCAATTGTCTAAAGCGCCTTCTTGAGCAAAATCAGTCAGGGGCAAGGGACTGCGATTCAATCCCCAGCTGCACATGCTATACCAGACCTGTTCTTAAGGCAGCCTGAGCCAGCATCCCCCAAAAAAGCCCAAAATCTTTATTGCTACCTGAATCCTTTCTCCAAATGATTCTCAACAAATCCATGAAAAAGAGCACTCCACATGCCAGACATCTACCAAGGGAGCCAATCTGTCAGCCACAGAGCACACAGACACAGATCTGAACAGGTCTGAGTCTAAGGGACACCACCATCTTTCCATCAAAGTAGCTCAAAAGTAAATGAAAAAACATAAGAGAATGCTTCACACCAAACCAACATGTGTGTTACTTAGGACCATAGGTCCTATTTTTAAAACATCACTTTGGCATTATCAAGTTCTTCTATTAGATATTATCAAACAGAATGTGTTTGAAAGTTGTTCAAGTCACTGAGCCCATGAATTTTGCACATGAATAAACTTGAACCTGAGACCATGAGAACTGAAGTATTCTTTCAGAATTCACCCAGCGATACTAAACTTCTTTTTGCTTATTTCTTAATACGGTGGGTGCAGTTTGAGTTATACCACACAGTCTCTTCTGATTTCCATAGTAAAACAGCACCTGGCAAGGGCCAGGGACACAAACTGCTATCTATTTTACATTTCCATTAATTTCAACAGATCTGTGGATATAAATCTTACAAATCTTACTATATAATTTTTGGACTGTTATTTTCCTTAAGGATAAAGAATCAAAAACTGCTTATCTTAAAAGTTGTTCAAGATCTTAGTCATACTACTTTCATAACAGCAACAAATTGAAATGGTGTCCTAACATAGCTGATTTGTCACAAAACTAGTATTAGCCTGTATTTACTTAAAGTACAATGAGGCCTTTACTTTACTACCCCTGGCACACTCATTTTATCAAGAGTAACTGGCTTGCTGTTACACGCCCCAAAACTCAAGAAAAATGTACATATGTAACAAAGATAATTTAGCCTTTTTTGGGGGGATATATGGAATGTGCATCTGAAATCACTCAATGACATGTATGTACACATGTATGTATACATGAGGTACAGAACATGAACAAAATGCACACGTTAACACACCCACTTAAAGAGATTTCACATTGAAGACAAACCTTAAATGGTGTGGGAGCAAAAGGGTTAGTTGGGGAACAGTAGAAGATATTTCTACTTGAATTCTGTAATTCCTACAGTAATAGAAAACACAGTTCTTTAGAAATGGCATCTTTGCTTATCCATTTTACAAAAACATGAAAATCTGATCAATATTCATAAAATGTTTCCTAAAATAAATTGCTGACAACTTTCTTCCTTTTCATGATCAAATTATGCTATATAAATTCTTGTAAATTTTCATTTCAAGTTTGCTTTTGATAATTTTATCAGAGTGTAAGAATATCCAAATATAGATTCATGAGCCTTGAAACAGTAAAGTTTCCTGTTCAGGCATCTACACAGACACACTTAATGAATATTCAACAGACTCCTGCAAGTATACATACACAATTATTTATGAGATGATTCACTTACACAAGAGCTTTGTGACCATCTTGTGGAACGCTAAAGGTTTTAAAGCAATATAAGGTTTTAAAGAAATTATGTGTGAACATAGTTCATGTATTTGACAATTAGTAAAAATGTGTCAGAAAATTTAAATTACAGCAAAATTCAGGAAAGGGACTGGACTCTGGTTACCCCTTTCCTCTTCGGAAAGGGTATTTGTTTTCAACTATAAAAATTAATAATCTTTCACAGAAAATTCACATGCTCACTCCAAACACACTGGTCTTTTTGGGTTTTTTTTTCTTGTTCAAATATAGTAAACAATGAACTGGGACAAAGCACAGTAGTAACAAAGAACCAAACATTTGCAAACGGCAACAGCAAGACAACGGGCATTACCCAACCTTGTCAGCGGTGAACTGAAGAGAGTCAGCAAATGGGTTAGTGCTGCTGAAGTTGTACTTAGGGCAAAGGCTGTACGGCAAGGAAGGCAAAGGGAATTTCTAAAAGGAAACATAAGAGGTGCTAAGTGCAAAAGAAATGTACTTACAACTCAATTTCTACAGCAACCTGCTGATTTAAAGAACTGTGTGTGTGAAACGGGATTCTATGTAATAATTAATGGCATAATAAGTTTGCTGCTGAAGGTTTGCCTGTAATGCCCTAAACCTATACTTGAATATAAATCAGCCTACAAACTATACAAGCACTAGCCAAGTTATTTTCACTGAATGAATTTCCTATCACAGACAGCGACATATATATTTTATTACTTTATATATTATTTATACTTTACGAATATCAACAAACACTTTGAAAATCAAAACCCTCATGTTTCTCTTATTTATTTAAAGCTAATTATGTTGTTTTAAATAGTCTACATCTTCCAGAATGCATATTAAACATTTGTTTGCTAGTTCACTAGTAACCATTATTTCGTATTTTGTTTCCCTAAAAGGAAACAATTGACTAGATATTAAGAGCAATAAATTAAAAGAAGAAATGAACTAGGTAGAGTGGTATTCTCTTTTTGTAAAGGTGGGAACAGGGAGATTCATATTTTAAAACAAAATACCTATCAAATTTCCCATATTACTGGGGCATTTATGGGCTTTGGACAATATTTGAGGTCCTAATTTAGAATGTTTCGCATAGATTTTCTGGTTTGCCTGAGCCAGGACTGTTAAGTTGAATATACGTATTAAAGCAGGATGCCTGCCAAATAGAATTTAGCATTCTCATAGTTTAAAAAAAAGTAATTTCCTTAGCACAATAAATTCTTCTCCTTTCACACCCGCTATCTTTTTCTTTTATTGACTATATCCTTCAAGGGAAACTGTAGACATTTAAAATTCATTTTGGCTCCAATTAAATGTTTGTGTTACTTCTCTCTATAAAAAAAAGTCCCACTGGCAGGCGTGGAATGTAGAGAGGCTGTCACATGACATCATTCTGTGTGGAAGAACATTCTGGAAAGATTGCATCCTCAGCACGCCTGTACCAAAGCTTATGCTATGCTACCCTTTCAATCTGCTCTTCTTGCCACGTTTTTCCTATGGAGGGAAGACAGGGAGAAAGATATGGGCACAGTGACATTTCTGCCCATCTCGACTTTCTCCCTCCAACTCAGTTTAAAATGTCAACTCCTGCTCTACAGAAGAGAACATCACAAATGCCAAAGAACACGACCACTTATTAAAGTGGAAGAAATGGCAGGGCAGAGATGAAAAACATATCCTAAAGAAAGGAGTTCCATGTATTGAGGGTAGAAATTATTTCCAGTTTTGGTACATGGTATTTTTTGGCTTAAACTGTCCTTTATAATTACGCAGAACAGAAAACAAAACCATGATGGAAAGAAACAGAATACTTAAAGAGATCTGTAATTTTTGTTTGCTTTGTTTTGTTAAAATTTTCAGACCTTATAGGATTAGAATTTGGCCCCAAGGGAAGAATGTAAAGGTACAGCAAGAGCAGAGCAGATGAAACAAACAGTAGATCATTCTATTTTTAGGGAAAGATAGAAACACTATTTTTTTTGCTAACAACAACAACAACAAAAAAAGACAAACCTCTCTATATTCTCAAGGGCTGACAAAGCAGAAATACTATTAACTAAGAAAAACACAAGAAAGTTGAATAGTTTCTCTGGCCCCAGTTAATGGCATTAATGGAATCCACCCTATAGTCAGTGAGACCAGCCTAAATCCTGGGAAGCCTGGTTCTGGGAGACTTATTAATGGCCTAAGTGCCAAGAAAAATGATTAGCTCATCAGCCTATGACTAAGATTTCATAGAAGCATTTTTCTCCATTCACAAATAAAACATTTACCCCTAAGAGATTTTTAAGAATGTATAATTGTGATTTTTTCCTTTTTTATTTTATATCACTAGAGACATGAGGGAACTAAGTCCCTGGGAACAAAGAATATTTCATTTAAAATGCAAAATTAATTCTAATTTCACAAACAAAATGTACATAATGTGACTAAACATGTCACTCTAACCAAGATTTATCCTGTGATAATTGGTACAAAATTAGGTGTCATTATACCTCAGATAATAAAACAGTAATGTTTTCCAGGTGTATTAGACAATATCTGTATAGGCTCATTACAAAATGTGACGGGCATTGAAAGCAATGTTTGCAGTTTTTTAAGTTTTTTAAGTAATATAATTATCAATTATCATATTCTCCCAAATGATGTAAAAGGTGAAAATCAAAAATAAAATAAAAAAGGAATAAAACCCACTCTACCTACCCAAAAAGCTTTAATTTAAACAGCCATCTATCAACATCATCATGCTGTGTTTATGTTTAACACAACAAATGGAAACAAACATGAAAGGCTCTGTAGTTTTTTAAACAGACTGAATGGAACTGGTAAAGAATGCAGAATACAGTTCTACCATTTGGCAGATTTTCTATCTGAATGGATAATTATTACTTAACAATAAACAACTGAAGGATTAAAAACTGCAGATGTGAAGACAACTGCTTATTTAAGAACTACTAAATTCATCCCTCACAGGGAGCCAAGACCAGAGTTATACCTGTCTCGAACAAAAGGAAGGACCAGTGAAATCAACCTGGTCATTTTGTGTTCTATGACAGAGAGCGTCCTTACCTTTACTTATCTACAGATGTGTTCGCTACTTTCATCATTTGAATATTACTATCTTAAACTCTTAATTTTACAAGTTAAATTTAAAGTATTTTACACATAAAATTATATTTTAAAGTTTTAGATGATCCCTTTAACATCCCTCATATATGCTGAAACTTTCTTTTAAAAATAACCAACCTTGACGACAAGCAGATAACTCACAAAGAATTAGCAGAGCAGAGGTTGTTAAACCCACAAGTGGTGACTGATTACGGAAGCTAAGCAACTCCTGAAATGGCATGAAAGCTTTTGAGGGAGCATCCATAATTCTGAAGAATTTTCCCAGGGGTATACAGCAAAAATATATTTAGTATGTCTTGCATGGTAATCCCCCCCCACACACACAGAACCAATAAAAATGTTTTAAATCTTTCCATAATTTTCATTTTCACCATCATTAGGGCATATTAAATGCATGAAGCCTTATTCCAATTCTTTATCAATCAAGTTCACTACCTGTGCTTGTATTTTCTAAAATATTTTCAAAGCTATTTTGCTACTATGACTGATAATAAGCACATTTCTAGGTTTCTGTCTGCCAAGAGTTATACATTGGTGAACTACACAGTGAATATAGCTGGTAACAGCAACTACAAAATTGCTTTTAATAAAACAAAATCTACCCTGTGAAAATCTACTCTTCAATGTGATGCACAAATACAAAAACAGAAGATGTGGTCTACGGAACAAGTTGAAAGGAAATGTAATCCTTCTGGCTTTCCAGGAACACAGACTATTAATCTGAATGACGATGCCACATTCCTTGCAACAGTTTGTATAGTTTGCAGCTATAATGAATAATTAAACATCGGGACACTATAAGCACAAGTAAATCCTACTTCTACATGTTTTCAACAGACTTTAAAACTATTAAACATGGTGAACAGAATTTCCAAGATAACTCAATACTTAAAAGAGCAAAAAATTCTCAGTAAGTCTTCTGAGATTGATGAACTCCTATCTGCTCATACAGACAACTTGGCGCTGGCTCCATTAGACTCCAAGTTGAGCACTGCTCGATATGCCTACATTGCCCTTGATGTTCGCTTACCCTTGGTCTGTTTATAATGCTCTGTACCATAAAGACTACAGGGTTGCCTGCTTTCCGAATGGCTTCCACAGCTTGTTCATGGCTTGCATCTCTGAGGTCCATTCCATCCACCTGCAATGGAAGGCCTCAGCTTAACATTTCAAGAAGCTATAAAACAAAAGAACAACTGGACCTGGTGTTTGGAGGAGCCTTCATTAAGGTCCTGGAAAATTTATTTCAGCATCTATAATGAGACTATTTTAAGGCTGTAAAACTTTTCACCTGACCAGTGGCCTTGCAGCCCCTTCCTCTAGACATAGATCTCGGAAACAGTAACCAGTCGGAGTGACTTTGGCAGTCGTTCTGCATTCCTTAAACTGCTGCTCAGCTGTTCCTTCAAGTCAATAAATCAGCATCAATAAGGAAATAATAAAGTGGACTCAAAAATAAAAGGGACTAGCGGTACTGTCTTTATCAAGAAAGCTACTGCACTAATTTTTTTCTAATTTATTATAGAGTGGTTTGGGACAAGGCAAGTGATGTTTTATATATTTCTTTTTTCAGACCCTTAAAGTTAGAAACAAAATTCTGATATCCAGAAAAATCAGATTATAGTAAGGTTAATTTTGTAAAAGAATCTTTGCAATAGACATGACAAGAGTTGGAAGCCAAGAAATTGTGCTTATCTGTTAGTAATTCTTATATAAATAATTTGAAAGTAAGAGTTATTTTTGTAATTTTTTATTGACCATGGACTGTCTAGGTGATGATCAGTTCGGCTTCTATATTACATAAACAAGGAAGACAATAGCTTAAAAGGCCAAATGTTAATCCTGCTGGAAAACTACATTATGTTGACTTTTTATCATTCTTAAATACTAAGTAAATTCAGAGTAGGCAAAATTCTGGAAAAAATCATTTATTAAGACATTGGCATACAATATTATCATTTTTCTATAATTTCAAACAATTACTAATTTAGTTGAAAATCTTCCTCAAGTTCATACATGGACGACGGAGCTGTTATTTTTATTTATTTATTTTGTGTGTGTGTGTGTGTGTGTGTGTGTGTGTGTGTATACATTAGAAATGTCTTTAAAGGTTGTGTTCATGTAAAATACAAGCCAGTACTCCTGTCTCCTATACGCTCTCCATACACCCCACCAGGGGAATGCTCACGAGATGCGCGGCACGTCTGCTCAAGGCCGAAGAGCGGCACAGCAGAGGCGCAGCCCCGCAGAGCCCCGCTCAGTGACCTGCACAAATCTGCGGGGACTCCGCATGGGCAGGGCCGGAGGCCCCAGGACCACAGAGGCTGAAGCTTTCTTCCTTAACGGAAAAGCCTCAGCACAGAGGGCACTACTTAGTGTAATAAATATGCAACACTAAGGCTATTTTCAACACAGACTTGTTCTATGTTTCAATTTGAACAGATATTTAAACTCAATGCATTTAAACAATATTCTGGGGCAAACTATGACTAATCTTTTATAGAAATAATTAAAACGTCTTTATTTTTCTATTTCAGCCAAAGATATCTATAATAAAGAACACATAAAATAAACTTTTTAATGATGACCTAAAATTGAACATTTTAGACGGAATGCTCAAAAAGTTATTTCAAAGTGGGCTAAACAAAATCTAAGGGAAGATAAGTAAACAGTGCGGGAAACAGCTTGTCACTATTCCCTGTGAATGACCACAGCAGGGAAAAGGGAACAGGGCTTTTGCTTTTGTCTCAAATTTCAAACTATTGTTTCTTTAGCTCTCAGAGACAATCAATAAAGGAAAAGTAAATACATTTGCATTTTAAAGTTATGATTGTTAAGTATAATCTAAGCAACTGTGGTGCTCTGGTGCATAAATTATATAGGTTTCACAAAGGATGGACTCAGTTGAATAAATACAATGGCCAGTAAGTTGTTTTTATTTTGAAGTTATCACTTTTAGTTACCTCTGTAATTCAGAAAATCTGGGCCAGGTACCCATCTTTGTACCACTTTAAATATAACTGCACTTGGCATATTGCCCCTAAGGGACCAACTTGTCAAGCCAGAGTCTCTTGCCAGGCAGGCATGATGCCTTACCTACTACAGGACGTCCTAAGTCTGAGAGTGTCGCAAGTGAGTGTGTGTCTCACACGAGAGGGGGCTATAAAATATTACACCTAATTCTTGGTGTTGAATTAGGGATTAGATAAAAACTGCTTCCATACTTCTGTCTGGTATGCAACAAAACACGCATGTGCGCATATATGCACAGGTGCACACACATGTGCAAATAGGCGGTGTCTTCGGTGGGCCATGCATGCATCACTGAGCAAAGGGCACATTCTAACTGGTAGGCCTGCCAGGGAAGTATTATATAAATAGTAGTCAAGGTCGTGGCATTTGAAGACTGTACCAAAAAAAAAAAAAAAAAAAAAAAAAAAAAAAAAAAAGACTTACTTGGAACAAAATCTCATCCAATAAAGTTTTATACATTAAAATAATAGAGTATTTCCTGAGATAAATCAGGTTGGAAAATTTATTTATGATATATACCTTTCATATATATAATCATTCATAATTTTAAATAATTCTCTTTCCTCTAAGAATGTTTATTCTTTTAAACAGATATAATTATTTTGCAGTAGGCTCAATGTTTTAAAAACTGATTGGCAATATTTCTAAGCATCAGTTTCTACATTGAGATATACAACGGGTCATCAAATACACAAAGGAAAACTAAAGATGAAAAGACACATCTTAACCACAAACAAATTTTCCTCTAACAGTGATTAGAGTAACCATTCCCGGGTGGCCAATCCGTTAGCAAGGAGGGCGAGTAAGGTGAAGGATTCTGACACAGAGCTGAGAGTACCTCTACTATTCTGTCTCCAGGCTTCAAGGTTCCATTTTTCCCAGCAGGACTATCCTCGAGAACATGTTTGATGAAAATGCCCCTCATCACTTCACCATTGCTTAGACGACTCCCCATCCCTCGTCCACCAACAATGCTGATCCCCAAGGATTTGCTTGGTTCTCTCCAAAGTTCAACCCTGTAAAAAACAAATTTTTAAACTCTTAGAAGAAAACATATAGGAACAATTTCTTGATAGTAGCTTTTACAGTGCCACCCTATGTATGCCCACCAAAGGCACTGACAAAGTAAAAAACAAAAAACAAATTGGAACTCATCAAAATGAAAATCTTTGTACAAAGGGCACTTCCAACAGTGAAAAGGGCAAAGACAAACCATAGCAGAAAAATAATATTTGCTAATCACAGTCTGAAAAGGGATCAATAGCCAGAATATACAGAGTACTTCTAAAATCCAATTACAAAAAAATCAAGTAGATTAAAAGATGAAAACTTAATTATGATATATACATTTAATATATAATTATATATATTTTTAAATAATTCTATTTTCCCTAAGTAATTTGTTTTATTCTCTTAAACAGATGTAATTATTTTACAGTAAGGTCAATGTAAAGTCCTAAGAGTTAATGTATATTCAAGAATTAATATATTCTTTATATAGACATTTATTTTACTATAATATTTATTTTATTATTCCTATTTATGTAAAGAATATACATTAATGGCATTTAAGCACATTAAAAGATGTTTACTGTTGCAATATCACTGTATATTTTTTGTGTATATTGTTTATATCAATATAAAATAAGATATTGTCTTACACCTGTTAAAATTTCAACTACCAAAAAAAGCAGAAATCAGCAGCACTGATGGGGGCAGGAGAAACTGGGAACCTATGTATTTTTGGTGAGACTATAAAACAATACAACTGTCATGGACAATTCTTCAAAAGTTCTGGTTCTTTAAAAGTTAAAAACACAATTACCATAGGATTCCGTAATTCCACTTCTTGGTGTATACCCAGAACAGGGTCTCACATAGGCACTTTGTACCCTTACAATACAAAAGCATTTTTCTATTCACAATAATCAAAGGGTAGAAACATCTAAACTATCCATCAAAACAAATGAATAAACTAATATACACCACAATGGATTGGATTATTATTCATCCTTAAAAAGGAAGAAAATTCTGAAAAACATTTCAACATGGACGAGTTTTGAGAACACTATGTAAAGTGAAGTAAGGGACAAATACTGTATGAGTTCATGTCCACAGATATGAGACACCTACAGTAGTCCAGTTCGTAGAGACAGGAAGTACAGTGGTGGTCACTGAGGAACGGGAAGAGGGAAAGGTGGGGAAGTCTAGTTTAATGCACACAGTTGCAGCTTTGCAAGGTGACAAAAGCTCTGCAGGTAGGTGGCAGTGCCAGCTGTAAGCAATGTGATTGTCTCTAATGCCAATGAACTACAGCTTCAAAATGATTGAACTTATAATAAAAAGAATGAGTAAATATTTTGCAAAATAATGGTATACCAATAGAAATCAAGGGGCCAGGGAGATGGCTCAGTGGAATAAGCACTTCCCTAGCAAGCACAAGTGCCTGAGTTCAATCCCCAGTTCCGAAAAAAAAAAAAAAAAAAAAAAAGGAAAGAAATCAAAAGGTTACAATAGTTCCCTAATGATATGCTTTGCAAGGCTGGTGAGTAAGTACTAATGTATTTAACTAGCTGATTTGTTGTAAATATTGGACTCACTCCACGCTGGGGCACACACCAATGTAAAAATACCATGTTTCAGGAACTTTAATATTATAGGTACTAAGATATTAGTAAATTTAGCTACCACTGAACAGATGGTAGCTTCTAAGCTTAGCAGCCAAATCCAGGGAAGAACATTCCTCCATATACAACATTAGAGGCTTGTGTTGCGAAATCTTTCTTGCCAAAGCAAGCCTGTTCATGAAGCACAGTGGTTGACAAAATCCTACATAATCCAATTCTTCTTCTACCTCCCTAAACTCCTTTAACCACATTTTGCTCTCCCCAACCCTACGACCACATCTCCTTTCTGTTGCTTTTAGATCCACAGGGCATGATTCTGCTGTAAGCCTTTGACACAAGCCAATTCCTCTGTCTGCATGCACTTCCTTACATGCAGAAAACATAAATGATTATGCATGATGATTATAAATAGCTGTATATTTACAAATAAATTTATAAATCATTATAAATTGATTTCAAGTATGTATCCTGTGACAAAGCAAGTGCATAAGTGTAAGGCAATCTGCAGGGAGCTGTCTGTCTGAAATAAGGTGGCAGGTCAGCTCTCAAAGTCTTGCGATCTGTTTCGTGCCTCATAAAAGAAAACAAAGCTGGCCAAGAAGCAGAGAAGACAGCATGGTCAAATGTGCCTCGGCAGTAATAGCTAAAGTGCTCAAAGGCAAAGGGAAGGCCAAGGCCGGGGTGCTGGCTCAGTGGAATAAGCACATGCCTGGCAAGTGCAGTGGCCTGAGTTCAATCCCCAATTCCGCAAAAAAAAAAAAAAAAAGGAAGGTCAAACCAGAATTCCAGAGAACTGGGTAGAGTTCAAAAAAAAGACCAGGAATTAAAGTGCATTGAGATAAAAGAGGAGCTTGGCAATGCCTCAGAAAAACACAAATTCCTTTGGTCAGCAGTTTTACTTAACAAGAAACTTATAATCTTTGAAACTTTACTAATGTTTAAAGAACTTTAGATGATCCTTGACCTTATAAAATCTTTAAGAATAAACTAGTTAAAATTCAATTCACCATTTTCTCTAGATATTCTCTAGAAACTTATGAAAAAAAAAACCCAATATTCTTTCCTGTTTCATAAGGTAAACTGGCAGAGTACAAAAGTCAGTAACTTTAGCCACTGCATGTCTATTTGTAAGAAGCCATAATACACAGGTAGAAATATTTACATTTGCTTTTAAAATGAATGAATGAAATGAAAGGTCTCCTAGCACTCTTTCTGGTTAGTGATCTCTGGAATAAACAAAAACCCGGAAACAACAGTTAACATTACTATGGGATCACGATCGCTCATTCAAGTGAGTTATGTTTTACTCTCATCAGTCTACAAGATGGATGCTTGTTACTTGCCCCACTGTACAACGAAGGAAAGAGCTGTAGAGAAGCCACATAACCTGTGCACAATGGCACCATATTTTTCTTAAGGGTTTGGGTTGGAGAGCAAAAATTTAAATAGGCTGCCTAGAAATACAAGATGTGAATCCTTAGCTATAGAGAAAATAATTTGAAAGACAGAGGTTACTAAAATAACCAGAGTGGTGAGTAACTTGGCTCATTATTCATGGGACAGAGCATGGTAAACACTGAGAAAGAAAATGAAGATAAATGAAACAATTTTAGGGTATTTCCATGTCAGAGTTAACTCTTCAGGAAAAAAATGTCTGTCTACCAATTTAGACATAGGTGTATGCTGGCCAAATAGCTCAGTAGATGAAAGTGCCTGCAAGCAGGCCCAGGGTCTGGGGTTTCCATCCCCAAGCCTGCAGTGCCAGCCCTGCCCCCAGGGCACACTGAGATGGCAATTGAGACTGGGTGTGATGGCACATGCCTGTAATCCCAGCTCTTGGGAGGCTGTAAATAGGTGGATCTCTATGAGTTCGATCTAGTAGTGAGACCCTGAACACCCTGTAGACCCTTCCCTAAAATAAAATAAAATAAAATAAAATAAAATAAAATAAAATAAAATAAAATACATAGATTTAAGAAGACTGAAATTTAGAAAGGCCAATTTAACACATAGCTTTGAGATCACTTTCTGGCAACGAACTTTGCTTCTGAGTTCAAATCCTTAGCCTTGCCACTAAGTGCCTGCTTAGGCAACCGCAAGGCCCGGGGTTGGATCCCCAGCACCACAAGCCATGCAGACCAGGGCCCCGGGTGTGCTGAGCTGGCCACTGAGACCAGGCATGGTGGTGCATGCTTGTAATCGCAGTACTGGGGAGGCTGAAAACAGGAGGAACACTAAGCGTCTGAGCTGCTAGTGAGACCCTGCACCAAATGCATAAACGATGATGATGATGGCAATCAGAGAACATTAAATTATTTCATACACCCAAGTATGAATACCGATATATATATATATATATCAATAAGCCTTTTATGATAAAGATTTTTCTTCAATCAATATGACAAATGAACAAATGTGTATCCCACCCAATTAATCCAGTTCTGCCTTATTAAGGTACAATTTTTCATCCATCAGATTGATAAAACATTACATATAAAAAGACTGTGATATGGAAAGAAGGGATTAGAGAAAATGGAACTTACAGAAAGGCTACAGAAAGAAAGGCTGGTATAACCATGACAAAAAGCAGCTCAACAGACTTATCTAATGAAGCCAGTCAGTAGTTGTTGTTCTGGATACATACCCTAAGAAATTTTCATGTAGAAGTATACATAAATAGATACATTTATTACATAGAATTATTATAACAGCAGGTATTTAACTACTGAGAATCAGATATCAACTTGATAATGGATAAAGTCTGGAATATTACCATGTTGGAATACAACACCAGTAAACTGAATGAATTAGGGATTTAAGTATCAAATACAGGTAGGTCTCCAAATGATCAGACAAACAGGAAAACTAAACAAGCCAGAAATGATACCTATAGTATGATATCAATTCTATAAATGAAAATTATACACAAAATGCACAATACTATTTTAGAATCTTAACACTTCACTAAAATGAATTCTCTATTTCTACACCAAGAAAATATCTGTTGATCTTAGGAATAGGAAAGAGTCATTTACCAAAAGCTCTGGTGATTCTGGCAAGCTTCCTTATTGCTATGGTTTGTCTCTAGATCCCCTCAAAGCCTCATGGACTTTTAGATGGTTTTTGTTGTTGTTGGATGTTTTTGTTTTTCTAGGCAACTAAATGTAGAGTTTGGCTGATTCCTAGTGCAATGCTGGAACGAAGGGGGCTAACATTAAGGATAGGTGACTGCTGGATCACTCCACTGACTGGATTGGCATCGCCCTCATATCAGCAGTCTGGATAGAATAAAAGAGGCAGAAAGATACTTGCACCTCTTCCTACCCTGGTGTCTTCTGCTGTAATGAACCACTGCCCCCTCTCATGCTGCCTTGCCTTGGAGCCAGCCAGCTATGGACCGAAACCACCACAAACTGTGAGCTAAATAAGCCTTTCCTCCTTTAACTTTGGGTGTTGGGTATTTTATTTTAGCAACAAGAAAAGCACCTAGACAGTCATTCTATCTGTGAACTACCAGCCTTCCTCAAGGTAACACGTTGCCTCTAGACACATCAGTGAGAGCAGGTTGTTTGGGTTAGAGGGATTTATGGGAGCTTCAAACATGTTCTCTAAGTAGTTCCTACCTTTAAAGATGTTTCTTGGACTGATGTGAAGATTAAAACAGAATAAGAATATTGACCAGAAATATAGTCTTCTTTCTCTTAAAAAAAATCCATGATGATTCTTATGTTCAGTGCTTTTTTCTTATCTTATTAGCATTCAAAATTATATTCTTATAAACAAGATCAATCACTAGCTGAGGATTCACTCTGTTCAGGGCATTATGCTAATAATTTTAAATGTTACTTTACTAACTCCTCTTCCAAATTTACAAAGTTCTATTATTAGCCCTATTTTAGTAATATAGTAGTCAAGAAACAAAAATTTTTTTTCTCCAAGAAATGAAAGTTTAAAAAGTAGTCAAGACCTAGAAGAAATAAATTCAAATGTCAAAGCTCTTAGTGATTCCAATCATTTTGCATATTGTCTTCTACAAACTATTTATCCCCCTATGTTGTTCCTAAAGCTGACCAATGTAACATTTTCCTGTCATTATTGTCCAACAAAATTCATGTTAAATTATCACCATCTGTTACAAAATACTCTCATCTAATTTATTTCTGCCTCAATCTACAAATACATAAGATGCTTAACACCTTACATTGATGCCACAGATCTACTACTTATATCGTGTTCTCAATGTAAGCAGCACTTTGTGGAGATGTTGAATTTTTTTAAAACAATCTGAATGGCTTTTGAAGATATTCAAATTCAAACCTCATTTTGGATGGATGGAAATGCTAGTTTACTGACAGCAACATAAAATGTTCTCCATATTTTGAAAATGTTCAAATAGAATGGCTATAGGCTCAATTTTTTCTTTCTTTTTGAGACAAAAAAAAAAAAAATGCAGTTCAGGATGGCCTTGAGCTCCCTTTGTAGCCCAGGCTGGCTTAGAATTTGAATGGATCCTCTTGCTTCCACCTCCTGAGTGCTAGTACTACAGGAGTGTGCCGCCACACCCAGCTTGAAGTTCAATTTTTTTTTTTTTTTTGTATTTTTAGGGAAGGGTCTATAGGGTGTTCAGGGTCTCACTACTAGATGGATCTCATAGTGATTTACAGCATCCCAAGAGCTGGGATTACAGGTCCGTGCCTCCGTGCCAACTGCTGTCTCACTGTGTACCCTGGGGGGTTGGACTGGCATGGCAGGCCCAGGTATTGAACCCCTGGCCCTTGCCCTGCTTGCAGGCGCTTTAATCTGCTGAGCTATTTGGATGGCCCTTAAAGTTCATTTTTAAACAAAGAAAATATCATCAAACTGTATTACATCTCTGGAGCACTTTTTATTCACAGCTTAACATGTTTATTAAGAATGAAGCATGTTCATGCTGTTACATTTAGGTCTCTTTCCAGGGACAATGATGACAAATTGTTACAATTAATGCAATCTATGTAACATTTTTAATTTGTTTTTTGTGTCTCTATAGCTTGTGCAGCCAAGTCTGCAATAACTCCTTGAAAGCAGGGTTTACGTCTCCTATTTATGTCTCACTATTTGCAGATTATGGCCTTTAGGACTTAATAAGGCCCTATCAAACTCAAGTTAAATTTACTACGTTAAGCAAGCTGATACAGAGCAACAACAGAGTGGAGGGTCTGGGCAGGGGAGAACTGCTCCTACTAATGTGTCAGAGAGCAAAGAGGGGAGGAGCTGGGAGGAGACGCACCTGCCTGTTGGCCTCTCCTCTGCCTGGGCCCTACCTTCCCAGAGCAGTTTTAGCTGCTGGGCTCCCCAGTGGTAGGCAGTAGATTCTCCTAATGAGTGCAGAGCCCCACGTTTCAATCATGTTCCACAGCCCTTCAGGACCTTCTTAATCCACACTCTTACATGCCTTAGGGATACAGGATGATACACCTGAAAACTGGTGCTCGATGAAGCATGGTTTAGGACAAACACAGCATTTAATAACAAAGCTGCGTACTTACACACACAAACACACAGGGTCTTAAATATACATTTGAATGTCTTGTTTCTATAAGTGCTAAATAAAATTTAAATGGTATTATACCTAAAATAAAACGATCCACAACTTACTATGCTTCAACTACTTATGCATAATTTTCTCTAATTATAGTCTATACTATGTGCCAGATCATTACATACATGTTAGTTTTAACCCTCTATGACATTCATAATTCTCTACAATGTGCCCAAGAAGAGTTACAGGATGAGGAACATTAAGCTACTTGCCAAGTCACAAGTAGAAAGCTGAAACCCTGTACTTGCAACCATACTTCCCCATCTTTACGCACATATATCCTTTAAGTGGGCAGAAGACAGAACTAGTCCTTACCTCCTGGGCTGATTCCAATTGCTGTACGCTGCATTCTGAAGTTCACTTTCTTCTCCTTCTCCCTCTTCTCGTTCTGGTAGTTCTGGAATGTCTCTGGATAAAGTTTCACAATGCAACACTGTTTTATATGTCCTTAATTGCTGATTAAGCTACTGCCTTATATTTTCACTATATCCAACCATATATATAAATAATAATTTTATGGTAGAGGGAAAAAAATCAAATCAAGTAAGACCCTTATGTTACAATCAACCTACCATAATAGTCTAAAAACAAGGGCCAGCGAGATAGCTCAGTGGGCTAAGTGGCTGCTTTGGCAAGAGCAGGGACCATGGCTCAAGCCCCAGCACCACATGCTCTGCAGCCGTCCCCACCCCCAAGCCTGGTGAGCCAGCCACTGAGACAGGGCGTGGTAATCACAGGCCTGCAATTCTAGCACTGGGGAGGCTGAAAACAGGAGGATCACTACCAGTTTGAGATGCCTAGTGAGACCCTGTACCAAATACATAATTTAAAAGTACTAAAGAACAATTAAGTAGATTGTGGCATGCATGACTTTATGCTACTGGTAAAAACTGGATTTCTAAAGAAACGTTTATTTATTCCTTTCAAAGCACAGAAGGGACAATGGCTGATAAATTGAAAAAAATAAGTATATGTTAAACCCATCACCATTCTTCACTGGAAGAAATACTGAACAACTCTCAAATTATAGCATCTTTATGCTTCGAGATCAGAAGTCATTTAATCCCATCAACTGTGTCTGAATGCGATCGCATCTCTGTGGTGGAAGGTTCAGGTCCCTGTAGAACATCTCTCCCTTGCTTGGCCTCAGTGGTAGCAAAATATATGTTTAGAATGAAATGTAGCCCTTAAGAGTCCTATCCTTCAGCTTTGAATTCTAAGGGAAGAATAGACTCTGAATAGGGCTGGCTCCTGTAGTCTAAATCTGACAGTAGAACCAGATGATAGCAGAGAATAGTCCCAAGACCGGGCTTCCCAACATCTTGTCAGGAAGGTCCCTGAGAAATAGTCCTTATCCAGAGAACAAAGGCAGAAAGGTGAAAACAATACTCAACCCACTGAAAATGTAACTGGAAAAAATCTGACAGCAAAAGGAAGTCTAGAAGATAAGATTTATAATTTGGGGAGAATGACAGCCATGGGGTGGGAAGAGGTTTTACCTCTAAAACCTAAAATGTAAGAGACTCAAAAACACTTTTGGTCATACTGCTCCACGGTCCTGCCTTGGGAGAAAATGAATATATTGCACTGATTGAAAAATAAATCCTATTCCCTTCCAATTATTCCAAAATCTTGAATTTCTTCACTAACCCAGATGATCTGTTCTAAATGTTCAGATTATGCTTTACCCATTTTAGAGCCTGGTTTCTGATACTCAAGTGCCATGTGCTCTGCAGAGGAGAATGGATCAGCTCTCACTTGGCTGTGCTCATTCAGCCAAGAATTAGATTTTTTTCTTAGTGTTAAAACTCCTGACAATGAAAGAAATTTCTATCAACTATAACCACTAACTCTATTTATATCTGTGTTTGTATAAGGTAAAGTAACTTGGATAAATTTACAGTTATATAGTAGTGACATGTGAATTGAAGCCATCTCACCACCAAACTGGAGCTCTGAACTTCCACACTCTGTGCCACTTTATGTAGCACACATTCCCCTGCAGTTCTTCCTCTGGATTACATGTTCAAGAACAAGGATTTTAAATTTTTCATTTTAAGAATGACTCTGATGCTTATTAGCTGTGGGACGGGGGCGACTTCCTTCCACTGTAGGTTGCTTTAGTGTTAAGCACTGATACTGACAGCAACCCTATTTTCTCTATGGTGAAACAGCTGGGCATAGCATCGAACAACCAAGAATCTCTCTTTCCAAGCTGAAAGAGAAGCAGTATTGATAGTGGTACCTCCTAATTAATAACTTTCGAGCATTTTAAGGTCCAAGAACTTATGAAGACTACTATGCTACCTGTTGTATTCTTTATGCATTTGAGACATTTCAGAAGGACAGTGAAATGTTATTTCATAACTATATTAAAATAAGACAAAAACACTAGCAAATCATAATTAACTCATGCCATTAATCCTGGGTTGGAAATTCTACAGTGAAGTATGGCTGGGCTTTGACAGAATAGAATGAATATTCCTTTTCCCATAAACTTCCTGAGACTCCTAGATTATAACATTCCTTCTCTTTATTAAATATAGAGTGTCCCTTTCCTTTCACTGATGCCAAAATCTGCAGAGGAATCAATAATGCAGTATCATTATTCCTGCAGGGTCATTGGACACCTGGGTATTTTGGAATGTTTTGGTATTCTGTAAGGAAAGGTGGAACTTTTGCTCTATAGAACACTGAAAGGAAAATTTGGTATTCACTTATCAGTGCAACTGAAAACATGCCTATAAGCGAGAAGATATAAAGGCATATTCATTATGGAAAAGCCAATATTATAATTCAGGCATAATATGCTTGTATACCAAGATGTGCAACTCAGCATTGTCTAGATGAGTAAAATATAGATGTACTGCAATGCTTATGGACTTACACATGTTAATTAGGAAATATTTTTTTTTTTTTTTTTTTTTTTTTGCGGAACTGGGGATTGAGCACAGGCTCCTGTGCTTGCCAGGCAAGCACTTATTGTACTGAGCTATCTCCCTGGCCCAGGAAATAAAATTTATGAAGATGTACTTAAAAATTACATTAAAACTGCTATCTTAGGTGTAAAGGTTATTTTAATTTCTTGATTTAAATATTCACATATTCCCACAATATATGATAATTACTTAAGTAATCAAGGAAATATGTTTAAAAATCTTGGAAGAAGAAAAGAAATTCAGACTTTTCATTGAACTTTCCTGATTCTGGTTCAAATGCCTCTTTAACTTATTGTGTCACTCACCTCTTGTATTGACTTAATGTTTCACTTACCTGCTAGCATAGGAAGAAAAAATATCCAGTGCCATTATTCCTCCAGGTTCTTGCCCCAAGCCTATTCTGAATTCCTCCAAGTGCTCTGCAGGCACATAACTAATTCTGGATCAAAACACAATCCACCAGAGCAAAGAAAAAGAAACATGTGTCAGTAAATGCTTCCAAAATAGAACAAAATTGTCTTGTCCTCTCATGGCTACCTTTTACCCAACTCATATACCTGCCATACTCATCAGACAACTCAGATTTCAAAGGTAAAGCATTCTATGGCCAAAATAACTGAAATTAAACTTCTGCTGCTAGTGAACTCTGTGTTCACTAATAATCACACAGAGAAGAAAGTAACTATAATTTATATTGTATGTATATATAAAATATTATATATATAAATGAGAGAGCTAACGGCCAGTTTTTGAAGTGAGCAAGATTCATACTTAAAAAGTTGGGCATGCGGCTCAGTGACAGAGCACTTTCTCAGGATATGCAAAGTTCTGAATTTAATTTCCCAACATTGCAAAATAATAATAGTAACAGTTACTCCTCAAGGCATCATACTGGGCAGCAACAACCCATCCCATACTCTTCTACAGTCCATCTGTACTTTATCATTATCAGAGCCAGCTGTGCCTCTCAGCAGCTGCACCTGGGGGATACAAAAATCAATCTTTCTGTATATCCACTTAGTATGATGAGTGGTGAGGTGTGTGCATGTGTGCAAAAGTGTCAAACTGGGATTTGCACCCATACTATGCTCCATCTGATAGGTTTTCCACATGTTTACTGAGCATCCCAGGGTAAAATGCACCCATGCCACTTTTCTGGTCTGTAAATGTGTACTTAACAACAAATGGAATGTAGGTGTGACTCACAGTAGCTATAGCTGGGGAAAGCCAAATCCCACCTGGGCATTCAACCCTTGGCAGACATATGTCAAGGGGTGTACAGGGGACCCAAAGTGGCATTAGGTGTTTTACCCACAAAATATTCATCGCTGAATTTTCTGTGCCTTTAGGATTAGTTCTAAGTAAAAGTTTTCTTTTGCTTTTTCTGGCACAGTTCAGTACAATGGCACATGAAAAACCATATTTCCAAGTCTGAGGGAGGCCGAACAAGAATCATCAGATCACTTATGCATGGATGATGACTATGACAATGACTGTGACATTGGCCATGTGAGCCAAATGTCCTGTGACAGAAAAACAGAGCAAGAATTGACTAACATAGAAATAGGGAATACAGCCCTTGTTGATCGAGTTGACAAAGAAACAATAATGTGAGTACATATTTGACTAATAGAAATGGTACAAATTGGCCACTCAACCAAATGGAACAATCCAATGTTAGAACATGATCCAAAAATATGCTGAGGACCTTGGCAAGGGTAAAACCTATTGGACAGAATACCAGCATGCTATTCAATGTTAGAAATTGTTTGGAAATATTACAATATATTCTAAAATAAACAAATTCTGAAATACAAATAAAATGTTCTGTATGCACCAATAGCCATACTCAAAATGTATTTATTATGACATCTCACTATCTGAACTGATAGCATGCATAGTCTGGTGTATTTAGCAGGGCTTCTTCATGGTAATCACAGAAATGTAAAAGCCTTATGAAAAAGTGATGGGTATGGGCTTGTTTACAGAAAAGTGATGACACTGAGATTTGATTTCTTTCAGAACTGCCTGAGGTTTGATGATGAAACCACCCACTGAGTAAGAAAAAGAACTGATAATCTGGTTGCTATCCACTCATGGTTTAAGACATCTGTTTATACACCATCTGAATGCATGACTATTTATGAATATCTTGTAGCATTTCACGGATGCTGTAGCTTCAGGCAGTGTATTCCTCAAAACTTTCAAAATATGGTATAAAAGTTTATGCCATTTTAGCCAGGTGTGGTGGCACATACCTGGAATCCCAGCACTTGGGGAGTTCAAGAAAGAGGGTCACTGAGAGTTGAAGGCCAGCCTGGGATAACTATTGAGTTCAAGACCAACCTGCACTATATGGCAAATTCCTTTCTCAATAAACATAACAACAACAACAAAATTATGCCCTTGTAGATCCCAAGACCTTTCATGTTTTTAATTTAGAAATTTATCCTGGAACTCAGCTACCAGGTTTTTATTTGTATAGTAATAAACCAAATGATGTTGTGGATAGACTTGTTGCTTTCATCTCCCAAGCTAATGGGACTGTGACACTGGACAACTGGTTTACCAATTAATGTTATATTTGACAATAGAGCACAAATTGACCAGTATAGGAATCATACACAGGAACAAGGAAGAATTCCCAATGAAGTGCTGCAATTTCAAAATCACAGAATTATATAACACAATTTTTGGATTTCAGAAAGATATAACATCAGCCTCATATATGGCAAAGAAAAACAAACTGGTACTGCTGATGTTAACATTGTACTATGATGACTAACACTGATAGGGAAACCTCGACAAAATGGAAGGCTGTGATATTTTCTACAACAAAACCAAATGTGGAGTATACGTTGTTGATGAGTAAGGCAGCAACTATGATGTCACATGAAACAGAAAGTGTTGGCCAATGATTGTGTTTTACACAATCCTAAACATTTGTGGCATAGTTTGATAGTTTAAAAGACAATAACAAGTGTAAAATATCACACAAAAATTTTCTTAGAAGATTGGGACTGGACTTCATAAAACATCAATTAACACAGAGAAAAAACAAAATATTTTTCTGCCAAGGGAACTACATCACAAAATTCTGGAGCACACTGGTGAAATAAGAGGTGAAAAGGCAGGCACAACATCACAAATACCTACTATGACAACAGGAAAACCAAAAAGATGTCAACTATGCCCTATCAGAAAAGACAGGAGAAGAACACATACATGATATCAGCATGAGCGATAGTACATGTGTGAAGACTGCCTTGCATGTGACAACCAAGACAAAAATCATTTCTGTGGCAGACTTGTATTTACATTGTAGTTAACATAGGATTTTGTTTCTGATGTTAGCTTTTTAGATTTTGTAAGCAGGTAAACAACTGATGTGAAAATGTTAACGTTTATTCCAAGTACTCATTACATATTTGATATTTTATTGTATTGATATCTCATTTTCCTAAGTGTACATTGTACAATACAGTAGGAAACTCCTGACAAAAAAAGAAGACAAGAAAGGTAACAATAATGAATTGCCACTTAGGAAAGGAAGGCTAAGCACATGTGCTGTCCATGTATGTAAGATGTATGCCTGGTGCACGCAGCTCTCGTCATGAATACTGCCTTGGATGTGACAGTTGAAGCCAAGCTTATTTTTATGCTACAGTTCTATTGGTATTTTCATTGTAGTTTATATAGGAGTTCATTTCTGATGTTATCTTTGAGGTTGTTTTTGTAAGCAAGTACACAGCTTAAGTGAAAATGTTGATATTTACTCTAAACACATAATACATGTTAAGAACTTAAAACTTAACTTGATAATTTATGCTCCTATTAACTACACATTGTGTAATATAAGAACCTCCTGACAAACCAGTAAGACCAGTAAGATGTCTATGTGTACAAAAAAGTCCAGGAAGGCAAAACACATGTGCACTCAGTGTAAGTGACGCACGTGTACAGAATGTGATGTTGTCATGTATGAAGGCTGCCTTAGGTGTGATGAATGAAGTAAAGATTATTTTTATAGATCTCTAAAGTAATTTTATTGTAAAAGGCAAAAGATTTATATGCTCTGAAGAGAAACCACAGTATATGTAATTTTCATTGTAGTTCACACAAGAATTTATCAGTGTTACTATTTTTTAGACTTTGCACAGCAAAAAAGTTAATGCTGAAAATGTTGATGCTTTTTTATAGACACTAAAAGTATTAAAAATTAAACACCATTTTTATTTTTCCCATTTTCATTGTTTAATATAATAAAAATCATAAAATTAAAATTAATAATTCATCAGCAGAAATATTCTAAAGAATATACAGTTACGATAGAGCCACAATACTGTACCTTTATGACAAAATTGGTGCTGTGCCCACATATTAATGAGTTGTCAGTAATAATATTAATGCTGTCTAAAGATACTTGAGTTCCTTAGTAGAAATAAATTAGGTGCACTCTATTACAATATGATGTATTATAAATTATCTTACTTTTCCCACAGCACATAATTAAGCATGAGCATTAACAAGCATTATCAATAACTTTGTTAGGTCTGTTATATTATGAACACTTAAGTTTAAAGTTAAATCACATAGATTTAAAGAAATAATTACTAATTTGTTGCAATTGCTTATGTGTATTTCTATTTCAAAGAAAGATAGATGTTTACATTTGAAGGTTAATGTCTGAATTCAAAAGTACTGAAAGTCTAATGTCTAGTGAGTGGAAGGCACTGTGTTAGATACAGAACAAGTGATGCTTATTACACGATGTATGAAAATTACTGCTGCCATTTAAGCCTATTTATACCCTTTTTATACTTTTTAAGTTGGCTGCTGAAGATACATTGCTTGATAAACAGAAAGGTAAGGGAAATGCTATATTTGAAGTTGGTTTGTCTTTTGTTGCAGCTGAGAATAAAATATGTAGTATTTAACAGCACAATGTAGAAATCATAAATACTATTAAACTATCCATAGTTCATTCATTAAAATAATAATTCCATCCAATCTTAGCACTAGAAAGTAAAGATATAAAAATTTGTCTTTTATGAAAGAAATCAAAAATTATACCAATGAGATAATTTCTGAAGTGAAAAAGACACATAACTTCAGATATATCTGTGATTCTATAGGAAGCATTCAGAATTCCACTTCCCTGAAGTGTGGGATCACTAGGGTTTGGGCTCTGTTATCGTGGGCAGTGTGGAAAGACAGCGATCAGCTCCGCTGAGACTCTGTCACCCACATCACGGCAGAGTGCCTCTCTTTAGGTGGGCACTGCAATCGGGAATGCACATAAACATACACGGCAGTACTCTAGGAGAAGGCTCTCTGGACACCCATTAGTCCTGTACAACATACAGGCCCTTTACAATCTTTTCATGACACTTACTTAGAGGACCACAAACAAGGAAGCAAGCACAGATCACCAAATTTACAGCTAGGCTGGGAAAGAGAGTTACATTGCCATTCATTCTGTCCTCCTTAACTTATTCACCTACAAAAGCACCTTTGCCAAGTTGTTATGAAAAATACTTAATAGTAAATTTTCTGTTATGTTTTAAAGAATTAATGAATCAAACATGTACTACACATTATATCAGGAAAGAGGATTACAATCTGCACAAAAAATGATCAGCCTGAAACCTGAACAGACTATTTCAGAAAAGTCACAGTATTTCTGAAGATTTAGGGAAACATCTAAATAGGAAGCTAAAGGCAGGAAAGTTGAGGGGGAAAATCCAGGACACAAAAGCAAACCTAACAGTAAATACAAACTATTAAGCCTATAAACTGGTTTGAGCATGTAAAGATGTTTCTATCCCAAAGTTTTCTTCTCCTTTTCTTAAAGCTGATTTTCTTTTATGGAAGGGTAAGGAGAAAGAGGTTTTACAAATATTTTTCTGATCATTTGAGTAGCAGTGAGAAGAAGCAAAAATGCAGCCGACACCAACATTTAGCACAACACAAACAGTGAGGCCCTCAAGGGAGCATCCCACAATGCACCACCACAGGCAGCCACTGCACGACATGCCTCGACACAGGACCACACAAAACCTGCCTCACCATTACAGAAAGTGGAAGCTGAATGACAGACTTCATAAACACACTGACAGCTTGAGAGCTATATTAAAAAATCTGACATATAAACTAACTTTTGTTTACACGTGGAGAAGAAGCAAAAAGAGTAACGTTGGTGAGACAAAACTGCCATAAAGCTATTAATCCAGAGACCATGCCTGCACATGCAGACAGGGTCACTGCTTTACACAGAGGTTTGAATTTCAAATTCATTCCCAGTCATCACTGCACTGTGAAATGTAATAAACTCATAGTTTCGCTGGGATTTATGTTCTTACATAAATGAGGAACAAAAGCCACTCTGTATACACTAAATCTATATCTGGATCTATCCTAGATTGTGATGTTACAAAAGCATGAAACAGTTTTCACACACAAGTTGTAGCACATAGCCATAATGAGCTTTAAATCACTGATATACACAAAAGGGGGCTCGATCATCAGCAGGTGCTGCAGAAAATCTAGAATATGGAGCATACGCTGTGGCATCTTTTTACAATGGTGTTAACAAATGCCACTGTCTTGTGCAGAATGTGAGATGCATACATATGCAGTTACAAGTGGGTGCTCCTGGTTTTCTTCTTCTTCTTTTTTTTTTTCATTTCCACCTCCCTCTCATCTACACTTCCCCCCCAAAAGCATCTGCTCTTTACCGGTGTCTATAGCAATGATTATTAACAAGCATGGAAAAATGTAACTGCAGTCAATCTTTTATTCCTTGATCAGGAATTCATCCCACACTTTAGGTTAAGGCAGGTGAATTCTGATTCAACTCAGTAATTATCTGGCAGATGTTATAAGCAGCTGCTTCTAAGTACAAAATCCTGGCTATAATTACAAAAATCTAAGAGCTCCTGGCAAGGTGCAGTGAGAAGTGAAAACAGAATGCATTTTGGTAAGGCTTCACATCTGGGTTTCCACAGAAAATAATAAAACCTGGAACTTAAGCTGGCTGTTCTTGAACTCTTGAAACTCAAATTATCTGTCCAGGCATGTGTAAATTCACACAAGCATGCACACACACACACACACACACACACACACACATACACACACACATACACACACACATCCTAGATATCTATAGCAATTAAGAAAGCCAGTGAATTATCTGTATTGGCAATGCTTTCCCTATAAACAACCAGTTGTGTAACTGAACCGGAGTCTTGTTTATGTCCCCACAACCCACCTTTGCACCAGCCCTCCAGAGTAAGCTAGGTCTATAACAAGAAATACAGAGAATGTGATCTAGATAGAGCCTAAATCCACGCAATGAGTACAAAGCTTAATTGGCTAAAGAAAGTGTTATGGTTTCACTCAGAATAATGGAACTGGACTGTCCTTTGGGAGGACTATTCACATAGCTTCCAGGTAATTCTAAACCTTTGCGTCAAGCAATAGACAGGAATGAGGTGAAAACCAGGATGTGCAAAAGGCAGGGACTTGCTGCTCACGCCTGGTTAATCTAAATAGCTATAATGATCTTCATCTAATATTTTTCCCTAAAACGCATCTTGGGTAAGGGTGATTTTAATTTCCATCATTTATTCAGCGAGTCAAGCCACGGCCCTCTGAGCAGGGCTCCTTGGAATATTTAAGAAAGCCATGTGCTCTGCGGGTACACTTGTGTGAGTATGCATGTGCACATGCGTGCACTGGTGACACATGGAAAAGAAGAATGGCAGGTTCACTTCCAGAACAGGGAAAGCTGTAAGATTCCATTTTTTGGCATGTGAAATTCTACAGCACATTTTGACTCCTGAGATATAAAAGCCATTACTTATGGAGCTAGCTTTTGGTATAATTCAGGGGCATAATAAAGACACTGCCCCCATAAATGAGTAATTCTGCTGGGTCAAAAATTGGGGGAAAATACATACATGTGCAGCTCATCTCCAGTGAAAAAAGGAAAGTCGGGAAAGGACTTTCTGCACCTGAAAATGCACCTTAAAAGCTTCTCTGGAATTGAACAGATGTATGACATACCAAACTGTGTTACCAAGGTCATAGTCTTTGGCCATTTTTTTAACTTAGGCAGGACATTAGATCTGAGGAGTAAGGCTAATACCATATATGGAATCTAGTATTCAGAGTGTCAAAAACTAGGCAAGGGACCTGAATTGGTACACAGAGTACTACATATATATTACAGCACACCAAGCCAAGTAATCAGTTACAAGGATATGTGGGTTTCATACTATATCTAATTTATGTCAGTTAAAGTCTTTGCAATGAAAGTCTCTGCGTAGATCTTAGGATTTATCTTTTAAGCAAAAGGAACACTGGCTGTCAGTAGTGAGGAAAGCATTAATTTTCCTATGATAGAGGAGCTGAAATTTTTTAATTATGTTCACCTGTACCTTATCACTGTAACCTTATCACTGTAATTAGGGACTAGTAATATGGTAAAATGATCTGCTTAACTGTATAAGTCAAATGAATGCAAAACTATAAAGGATCATTCATTAGTGAAGACTCTGCCTAAAATAATACCTGACCTAAGAGTGCAAAAACCATCTGAAATGGTATGCACTTTTTATGGATGACAATGAAAAACAGGCTGTAAATGCAGCTTTCTTCACTAATTTCTAGCAATTTGGAAGCGCTTATTCCACTAAGCCATCTCCCTGGCCCCCTCTAACAATTCATGCTTTGCAAAAGAACCAGTATTACAGAATGTTGTCAGTAAAAGAACATTAATACAAAAAGTCTCCTATACAATTTAAGGTAAATAATCTTTACCAGAGCTCTTATTTTATAAATTTTTCTATTATGTATTTAATGATTAATGTTACAAAGACATGGATGAATGCCAACAAGTCCTAAACTCATTTTTTGATTGTTGAAGTAATGTTTATGACTTAAAATCACATTTTAAGGTGTTTTTAAAACACCATGAGATTAACAAATCATGGGAAATTTTAGGCATTTTCTCACAAACTATCCTATATAACCTACAGTTAGACCACACCAACCTTAGTGGAAGATCCCTCTGTGTCACTGAGTAGTACAAACAAGGTTAAATTATGGGTCAGAAGGGCACTGTTCTACATAGCCTTTTTCACAGTTGTCCCTTATAGGACTGGCTTTGTTCTCAAATTCATATTGGCCAATTAGGTAGCGCACAACTCTTCACACTGAAATCAACCCAGACTTCTTTCTGAGAATCAAAGAATGAACACCTCTTCTCTGTGAAAGATGTCTCACATCTCTCATATATAAAGTTGTTATTGAAAGCACTAGAGAAGTAAAAGAAAATCATAAAGTCATGCTTTCAAATTTTCAACAGAATGATAGTCTTGGAATATATTTACTATCAAATGCTATTCAAAATAGTTAATTCTGGAGTAATTTGCATTAAATAAATATGTATTAATGTTTATACATAAAATAGAAGCCCAAGCCAAATTGAGGCCCAGTTACATACTTTATGTCGGGCCCAATAAGAGAATGTCTTCTCAACATGGCTCGTGCCTGCGCACTGGTTAAACTGACAGTAGACTCCTCGTTAATGGACAAGATGCAGTCCCCAACGGCAATCCGGCCGTCTCGACTAATGGCCCCTCCATGAATGATGCTCCGAACAATCATTCCCAAGCCATCTTTATTAGCACTGACCGTCATCCCTATGGGAAAAGAAGAATTCACGTATGGATTAATATATAATTTTCAAGTTCATTTAATTTAATAAACACTAAGAATTCGTAGATTAAAGAATATGGCTAACTTTTTTGACAATAAAACGAACAAAAAAGGAAAGCCTTATAACACAAAATATTTTAACTAATTTTAATGTCTGTGAAATTGTAAATAAAAATATTCTTTACTTAATATGTTAGATAGGAAGCATTCTATGGTATATAATGAATGTAATTTAGAACATTTGATGTGATGTCTTCTAAAATAAAAAAGCTTTAACACCATAACAGTACCAGATAATTTTGCAATGACAATTTATCTCTTATACATAACAGACTAAGAATAGGACTACACATGGAAAATTAGTTTTATAAATTAAAAAACTGCTTGTTATTACCTTATACCAAATAACTTGTTCATTCATAATCCATATACCATATAGCTAGTATTTACCAAGCACTACATCAGTTGCTCAAGATATAAAAATGACACAGTGCAAACTTCATATTATCCTGAGGTTTATATTCCTATGCCTCAGGGTTACTATAATGCTTGAATATATAGTGGTGTATTGATCTGAACTAATAGAAACTCAATTTTAGTGAGCTGTCATTTTTATCTCTATATCCAACGAGGTCCCCAGAGCAATGGACTTCTTGACATACCTCTGAATGTCTCATAAGAAATGCAATTTTAGTAAATGTAAGATGACCTGCTCAATTTTCACCTCCTCTTATTTCTCCATGTTTTCACGTTCTGGCACATGGCACTACTATACTACCCCCTCCATTATTCAAAACAAAAACACCAGGATTACTCTTGATTCTTATTCTTCTTTAATCCCTTATATGTAATGCCTAATGAGAAGCTATCATTCTTCTCTCCGAATTTTACAATGAATCCACTCTGCTTTCCCCATTTCCACACTAAGCCTAGACCAAGTCACTACACTCTCATCTAACTTTTGCAACAGCCTCTTACTGGATTACCTGGGCCTCCAAAATTATCCTCCCAATGCAGTTTTCTCATGGAAGACAGAGAATTCAAATAAAAACAATCCTACTCATCAGTCCTTGGCTTGAAACACTTCAAAAGCTTCCCGTTATGCTGCTTTATAAAATACTGGCCTGGTATAATTTATAGGGCACTGCTATAAATTATACTTACATGGACTTCCCAACATGAACCTACTCTGCATCATAGATTTCTTGGCCCCTTGAATTTCTGACACAAAGCCTTCTTTCAAAAATACTTATCTCTTTTCTTTTTATTTTGGAGTCCTTGCCTCAATACTCTTTTTTGCAGTTCTTATACAAGTACCTCTTAGTTTGAACTATGGCTTCCTTTAAAAGACCTGCTCAAAAAACTCTGAATTATGGTTTAATATACTAATTTTACCTTACTCCTTCAAGATATAAAACTTTTGAAATTAGTACACTTCATATGAAGTGATAAAGGGCTGGTGAGATATCTCACCATACTAAGTGCTTGCTGAGGCAAGCTCAAGGCCTGGGGTTTGATCTCTGGTACGACATGCAGCGCCGGCCACACTCCTGGGAGCGCTGAGCTGGCCACCAAGCCTGGGTGTGGTGGCGCACAACTATGAACCCAGGTCTGGGGAGGCTGAAAACAGGAGGGTCACTAGGAGTCCAAGCTGCATAGAGACCCTGTACCAGATACATTAAAAAAAATATATGAAGTGGTAAATGTTCTTCTAAAACAGGATTATATAATTAAGCAAGATACGAAATGCAAAGGTCTCATTTTTAAGACCTTTTTGGCAAAAATTATGTATTCCTTTTAGGATTTTGTGTATTTAGGTAATAAAGACTATCCAAATATTAATGCCAATTATTTAAAATTAGATATGCTATCTCAATCATTTTTAAGAATTACCTTATGACTTTACCCCAATATCTCATGCATGGATATCCAGACATTGAGCTTTTATTTTCTGATAGAAATGAGACGTTATCAAATATTTTTTTAAAAATTAGTTAAGATTCACTTTAATGATTTGAACAGTCCTAGGCCAGGTCTGGTGAGTGTGTGGAGAGCTTCCTGCTAACCTGCACCGGCGGGACCAGTCCCAGCCCAGGCGCAGCGTGTGCCGGACCTTCTCCCACCCCCTCGGGCTGCCCCCCACCACTCCGCCCTACCTCCCCCACCCCGCCCACCCAGTAGGAATTTCTGCCGA